TGAGAGGGTTTATATATGCACAACATCAGCACTTTCAGCTGGGAATTGCCAGGCCAAGTCATAAATTAGAAACTTGCCCATTACTAAGGTAATGCTTAACGAGGTGGGTTGATGTGCACACAACGAGCCAATGTCTGTAACTCATTAGGACATGTCAGCCCCTGCTTTAGCAATACATGGACATCAACCACTGGATAATGTGTTCATAGAGCTCATTCATTTAGGAAGGTCTCTATGCTGGTGCATTAACCTAAATCAGTCAGTTGTTATTCTTCTGTAAATGCAATGTGAGGTTTAAAATACAAAAAGTACAAGTTTAAGTGGATAAGTTGTTCACGGGATTTAAGGAGGATTAAAAGGCAGAGGTGCTCACTCCTATTCACTGCATTATGCTCCCTGAAAAAGTTTCAACTCTTGTCTAGCCTCTTATAAATACCAGTCAAGGTCCAGTGAAATACAGGACCGAGAAAAATCCTGTTCTCCTTGTACAGCAATTACCTCTACGAGCTCAGGCTGATGTTGCAATGTCTTGTCTGTCTTGTTTTGTGCATGTTGTCTTGTCTGTCTTGTTTTGTGCATGCTGTGTAGCATCTGTTTGTCCTGTGCAGTCATATTTCTGACTAATTTGTTCATGTCTCTGTATTGGTGTTACAGATGCCCAGTCCATTAATGGTTGATGAATAAGGAAAATATAGGTATACTTGAATAATATGATACTTATATATATTAAAACTATGTTCTGGTAAATATTTTAAACTAATGGATAATAGTGTTAAGTGGTATATGGTGACTGAGTTTACCTAATTGCTGGATCTGTTCCAATCCAGGAGATCACTGTATAGTTTAATGCCTCCAAATCTGTGTCTGAGTTACATAGAATAAAATAGTTTCCTATTTCAGGCTTTATTAAAAAAAGGCTCTACATTTAAATACAATTTTAGTTTTCTCTCAAGATGCTTTTCCCTTCTGCTTTAATAGCTTTGTAATACTGCTGACTTTTCATTCTAATACCATTAGTCACATATCCAGCATTTCTTTACAGACTCTTCCTTTTAGGTCTTGCAGTTCTCCAATTCTTCTCTTGACTGTTCTTCTTAGGTATTCTGTCCATGAGATCAGTTTAATGCTGTTGACTCTTTCATCTCACTTTCCATCTTAGGGAAGTAAAGTTTAGTATTTACACAGCCCATTCAAGTACAGTGACAATTGTTTGGTATTTGGAGAATCTATAAAGTGCAAAAGTGAGAAAGAAAGTGATCTTCATCGATGGGATGGACAAGAAGAATTGAATTTTCTGGGACATGCAGCAAGATAAAGTGACAGTCTGAAGATTGAGGCAGTTTGAGAAATGACCTCAAGTTTTCTGAAGGAGGCAAAAGCATAGAGGTGGTGACAGCAGTAGGGCAGAAACAAGGATGAGAGATCTTAAAGTCAGTGACCATATTAATGCTGAGTCAGTGGATAAATTCAGGATGATTCACATTCCATGTTGGACCTTATGTGCTGATTCAGTTCATTAGAAATTGCAGTGGGTGTGTGAAATGCAAGCTGCACACCAAGCACCACTGGCAGGAAACTTCATGGATCGTGCCAGGAGGGGGAGAGATCCGGTGTCCTTTCTCTGCCTGGCAGGGAAGTGCCGGGGATTGAGGTGGGCTGGCTGAAGGGCTGAGAGCACATCATGCCCCCCAGTTGCTGGCACACTAGATAAATTACAAACTGGAGCTTGGGCTTTGTAGCTTTTTTCTTCCCAGTTTTGGAATAGTCAGATGTCTCCCAGCTGGAGAAGCAGGAACAATGGATGCAGTGGGTTGGGGGAGGTAAGAGAGAACAAAGTGGTAGGAAGAAGGGTGACTGTGTGGCCCAGGGTTGCTAAAGTCACATTATTACTGTTAGCAGAACTGTTTTGAAAGGAATGAATGGGTCATTAATGTAACTATTTCTGAGTAGGTTGCCAGTTTTGTTTGAGTGCTTAATGTAGACAGGAAGGTTATAGAAATACAGGTAGAAATGTGGAGTCTTAACAATGAAAGTCAGGTCAAGAATTAAGTGCTAGGGAAAGTCTCTCTGGACATTTCTGGAGAAGGCTCTCTCTGGCAGAGAGAGCCTGAAGGATGTACCTGAATAGTGCTTGTAGAAAATTATGAAGAAATCTGAGAGGGTAGTTGTGCAAAAGCCAGGTTTGGGAGAAAGTTGCTGAGTTCAGTGAGCAGAAACTCTTGAAGTCTGCAGACACAGCAAGAATGAGGCAGATTATAGACCATGAGCATTGACCAAAGAAAAAATAGGAACATCTTGATGATAATTTTATCTTGAAGTCAGTCCAGAAATTACTTGGATACAAGAGTCAGTCCATGGAATTTGAGAGTCTTTGGCTTGCACTGATTTGTTTCTGACCATTCTGACTAGACTGTTCTGGCCACCACTCAGGCCTGGAGCTGAGTATTGTGTTTGGCCCATCTTGCTTCTCCTCTTCTCCTCCTTACCTTGTATTCAACCCAAAGTCAAAATCTATTGCTCTGACACCTGCTAGATATTCTCTTCCTTTATGCAGCTTCTAGAAACAAAGAAATTCTCAAGATGTGGATTTGTGGGTTTTAAAGTTTAATATTATAATATATTAATATATTAATATAATCTCTTAGAATTATTCCTGTTTTTCCTGGTTCCCTGTGACATACTCTCTCAAGGATTAATCAAATCAGGTTTTTTGTTCCTGGTGTTAAAGGCATAAGATGATGTGTACTCAAGTCCTTATCCAGTAAATAAACTTATTTTTATAGTAAATTACTGTTCTGGAATGTGTCATCTCTGTCAGGACACTTGTTTCAGCCCTTGGCCTGCAGTAGCTGCTGAGGCAGCTGTTTGACCATGCATCTCGGGGTGCAGAATTCCTGCTCCAATCTGAGCCTGCTTTCCTTCTGCAGTGGCCTCACAGGGTGCTCTGCTGTGTCCAGGGAGCAGGACTGCAGGACATTTTTCCTGGTGCTGAAACAGCCTCTCATTTTAGCACCTCAAATGCAGCCTCACTGCTGCATTTATTTCTCCCGAAGTGCATTTGGAATGTGTGGCTGTGTTGGAGTTCCTAATGTTTGAAGAGCCACCGACAGGTTCTATATAGGTTACACAATTCACAGCCCGGTCATTCTGTAAAGCCTGCATGGTCTAACCACACCTTCTGCTGACTGCTGGACTGAGACACAGAGCTTGTGATGGTATTCTGCATACTCACTGCAGAAAAGAAGGTGGATTTTAAAAATCTGGTGTAACTCTGGGGCAAAGGCATAGGTTTAAAGGGTTCTGACTGGTACTATGTAAATGTGTTACAGAGAGCCTGGAGGTACTGTTGTGTATGCTTCAGTCTGCTGCTCCCTAGAGCATCCTCACCAAAATACAAAATGTCTCTTTGGAGTTCAGTTCTGTGTTTGGGAAGGGGAGGAAGCTGTTGCTCAAAGTCTTCCTTTTTGTAGTCTCTGTTAGATTTTAAGGTGCCCGTGCTCATCTTTGCCTTCAGACTGTTCTAATTGAAATAACTCAAAAACATCCATAGGGAGCTGTCTTTCTGTAGCCAATGTGAAAAATGAGCAGAACTTTAATTTTAACTTACACAAAATCTATTTGTACATGATACTGGTGAACATTATAGTTACTGTCAGTTTATTTAATGTCTTAGGATCTTTCTGCCATAGAATGAATATAAGTTAAGGTAAATGCCTGTGAAACACAAGAGTTGTCTTGCTTTTGGATGAAAGATAGTCTGATCACTTATTTGGAAACAGAAATATTTTGTGTTTGATGTAAAACCAGGCTAGGCAGCTGATGGACTTGATTATTTTCAATAACAAGCAAGAATGGCTGTGTGTCAGTGTGATCACCCAGCTGTGCTTGGCTTTGGGCTTCTTTGTGTGGCACTGATTATTGGTGTTAGTAATATTTCCTTGTATGCATAGTAGGAGAATATTAATAGAAAAGATCCACTTGAAAGTCCTAAGAGAACAGTTTATCTTTTCTAAAGTGGAGTTTGTTGGCAGGACTGAAGCTATTGAACCAGGGAAGACATTAATTCAGTCATAGTATTAAACAAAGTTGTGATTAAATATGATGATCGAGATATGTTCTAAGATTCTCTGAAAATGCTACAAGCTTTGTGTTTCTGTCAGTTGAAAACTGAAATGATAATAGCTTTAGATTACATGGGTAGTTTTTACATGGACTTTAAAAGAGGAAAAAAAGGAAAGATCTGATTGTGAGAAAGATGGATGATGATAGTACTCCCGTATTCTGTAACTGTTCAGCTGAAAACACTGTATGGTGTTTATGTTTTAGCCTTTCCAAGTAACAACTGATCATTGTGCCAGTGACATGTGATACCTGAAAGTCATGGAGACTAAATTAAAGTTCAGTTGGTGTTACAGATTTTCATTTTTCAGTTCAATATGTGGTATTTGTTTTGCTTCTTTTTTCCCCCACAGTTCTGTATGTTTTTGTTTAAATATTTTATAATTTCTAGCAGTAAATTTTTGGGAGAGCATTGTTTTCATTATTGTGCCTTGAGTATTTTATCTTTCTCCTTTAGCAGGATGGAAATATTTATATTAATCATTGTTTCCAGATATGCTGAAAAATTTTACACTGGTGAAGGGGATGTTAGTGTTTGTTCACAGCTTTGATTTTAATATACAGAGTTAAAAAGTGACTGGTGAGAATGCATGGAAAACTTGACCAAAGTATTCAGAAATGGTCATTCTTGCAATGACTGCCAGATAAAAATGAATGTGTTCTGAGTGTTCCTTGATTTCAGTTTAGCTGTTCTGCAAAACGAATTCACTTTAGTAAAAGTCCACTAAATTGGGTAGCTAATCCAGGGATTAAAGCAGTTTGTGAATACTTACAGGTATTCTGAACAATAATATTAAATACCTTTACTTCCTGTGATACCTAGATAATTTTCTTGCTTTTCCCATCCCCATCAGACTAAATATCTTTGTTTTTCTTCATAGATTGAAATGCTAAGGAAGAAAGTAAAAGAAAAGGAATTATTTATAATACAGCTTTTAGACAAAATCTCTTTCTTAGAATGTGAGGTAAGGCACATTTTAAGTTTACATGATTGTGATTATTTTATGAAACCAAATTGAATTTGAACCAATGTCATCCAGTGCTATCTGAATGTATAATTACTAAATGTATTTGCTGTTCTTCAAATGGAAATTAAACATATGACACCAGTCATACAGTCAGGAGTGTGTGTAATAAAATCTCAATATTCACTCTAAGTTTCTTAACTTACAATTTTCTAATGGTTTTATAATGACTTAGACCAGAAGTTTCTGAATAAAACTGTTGGTTTAATTTATATTCTTTCCAGAAATAAGGGTTCCTTTATTTTATTGATACATACTTTTACACTGTTTCTTGTAGGGAGAGGGCAATGTGCAATTTTATTCCCTTGTTTAATTACTATAAATAAAATAAAGTTGTGATGGAAATTATTGTTTCCCAGAATAAAGAATTACAAGACAAACTGGACTACTTAATGGAAAACCAACAAAAGACCAATATAGAGACCAGAGATACTGGTGTAGAATGTGATCTTCCATACAGGTATTTATTTTCTCTGCTTGTTTGTAAGAAAATTCCTCATAATGTCCCTTATCAGTGCTGTATTAGTGACCCTCATTAGTGAACCATTTTGCTACTGAATTGTTTGAGTGGACTGTGGAGTTTAAAAGAGCACTTCACACCTAGATGCAATTTACATCAGTCATTTATGATTTTTTTTCTTAAAGATGCAAACATACTGCAGACTCGTGGGGAGTAGTTATTGCCAGTAATGCAGTTTAAGTCGAGAAGTCAGAGAGGGGACTGTGAGGTGTGGCGAGTTCTGGTGCAGAGTGGCAGCTGGCAGCGCTGCAGACACGGGACAGCTCTGCCCAAGGCTGCTCAGCGCCGGCTTCGGGCACACTTCACCTCTGTGCCTGGAGGTGTGACCACTGGGAGAGCGGGGACACCGACAGGGAGGGCAGCAGCAGTTCTGGAGATCTCCTGGCCCGAGGTGGAGGATTGCCAGGTAAACAGGGCTGTGACATCTCCGGAATGCTGATGCTGCTCCGTGGTGCCAGGGGCTCAGCAGCCTGGCTTTGGGAAGCCCAGGTGTGGTGCCAGGGGCTCTGCAGCCTGGCTTTGGAAAGCTTGGCATAGTGCCTCCCCTTCTCCCCTGCTTTCCCTGCCCTGAGCCTGCAGCAGGGCACCTGGGAGCAGGGCTCTGCACTTGCACTTCAGTATTCCCCACAAGGCCCCACAGGGAAGGGCAAAACAGGAAACAAGCCAGGAAAATAGGGATGACCGCTTCACATTACTTTTATTACCAATAAGTAAACTTGTTCATTGTAACCACTCTGCAAATTGAATTGTTTAGTTTAAAGGAATGTAAATTAGCATATGAAATCAGCAAGCAAACTAAAATTTCCTTCATAATTTAAAAATACACTCATTTTGGAGTTCGGCCTAGAGCATATTTAATGGTATGTGTTTTGGAACCTTAAATACACTGTTTTTTCACTCAGGTTGTCAACAGAAACCTATCTTTGTTGCCCTCTCTCGGGCCCCTCCATATGTAAGCACAGCCCTTACTTATCTGATATTTTTCCTCTTTTTGAGATTTATCTCTATGAAGGAATGCACCTCTGTGCAGTTTAGATTTCATGGAATTACACTTAATGATTAATTGTGTTCTTAAATGCAATAGTGCTATCTTTTTTTGTAGCAGGACTCTTAATTCTAATAACTTTATTTCTGGGCATTCCACTGTGAGCACCAGCAAATGCTGGCCTGTAAACATATCAGTATCTGCCACGGTTTTTATCAAATACTCTTTGTGGCATTATAGAAAAGAAATATGGAACATACCAAATGCACTGATAAGTTTAATTTTAGCCTGTAATATCAACACAAGGCTGCAAGTTCATTGCCATGGCATTACAGACCCATGTACATACATACAGCTGTGCGATACTCTGACCTTAACACTGTGAGCTTTCTCTTGTCTCCTGAACAGCACAAGCTCTGAGAACAGACCTCCTGAGAGTCCGAGGCCGGTGAGGACGTACACCCCATTCAAGAGAGTGCTGGAATTTAGCACAAGGAGCAGTACATCCTGAGAGCTCAGCTCATCCAGCTTCCTAAATACGAGCAGAACTTTGCGCCTTTGCAGCTTGGTTAGATAAGTTTTTATCAGTTTAGAGGAGAGCAGCAGCATGGAGTCTTGCTAAATTTATCCTGAAAGCAGCTCTTTGGTAACTTTATTCCTGAAGTTGCTACTGATGTTAACTGTGAGGGAGTAGGAAAGCAGCAGGCTGAGGGAAGCAGCAGTCAGGCAGTACTGCTTCTTTAGAAGCTGTCTAGCGCAATGCGTCATTTCAAATGCCTGTAAGGACTTGTATAGCTGTACAGTTGGGTTTTTTTTTCTTCACTTGTGTTGTAATTCTGTTTGAGTAATGAAGCTCTAATATATTGTGTTGTCAGTACTACTGGAGCAGTACCTGAAGCTGTGCTGGCAGAGGGAACTTGTGTGGAAGCTCTGAATCTGCCCAGACTGAGGGTGGCTCACACCTGTCCCAGAGACCTGGGGCAGTTGAGGGCTCTCTTCACCTGGAGCAGCTCTTTTGTACTCTTTGTCTGGGAGGGAGAGATGAACTGGGCTGTTTAAAACAGTTCTCTCAACACATGGCAAATGAATATTGTGTTTGCTACTCAAAACAGTAAGGGATAGAGCAGATTATAATGGAATTTGCTTTATTGGACTGAGGCACTGGTTTGCACTTCCTAGTCATGGGACAGAGTGGCCATGGGTGACACATTCAGTAGCAATTGTGTAGGAAAATCCCTGACAGTTTATTTATTTACTTTTCCATTCAAGGAAGGAGTTTTCATTAAACAAAAGTTTGCCTACTGCAACCTGCAGCAGTCCTTGCAATTCCAACAGCAACAGCAATCCTGAATCAGGATTTGAGGTTTTGAGTACTATTTTTTTTTTTTTTATCCAAACCACTTAAAACCTTATCTTTGGCTTCAAAGTAGCAGCAGGAGTGACTGTATCTAGTACTGAGCTAATTTAAATATATATATAGGGTATTATCTACATCTTCTTTTGATCTTCCACTCTTAGTGAATTTAAAATGAAGTAGGAATATATTATTTTAATTATGTTAACATGAATGAAGGACCTTTTTTTTTTCCTAATTACAGTACCTGCAACAGAAAACAAACAACTTAGGTTCTGTATGATCAATATTGTTCTTGCATGCAGTATCAATCCCAGGAGGTGCTCACCTTGCCACAGAGCTTCAGAAAGGGATTGCTTTTATCTCCAGCCTAATGCAATTCAGTCCTGCCTATTCAAATCAAGCACACTTACTAAAGTTGTATTTAAAATAATAATGTTGATGTCATATTGAATGCACAAGATGAGTAATAACTGATTTCAGGGATGAGCTTTGTACCTGTGCAATCTTATCTCCATCTAGTGGCTGATAACAGCAAATATTTGGACAGTATCTGTTTTTGAAGAGAAAGACACTAAAACTAATCCCAACAGGTATATTAATGTCCATTAGGGATGCAACTTTAGGTCTTAGAGAATGCATTTTAGCATTTCTGTGCCCAAACTCTGTAATTCAGGACTTGAATTCTGAATCATGGTTTGTGAAAATTACTTTCAAACTCAAGATGATTGGATGAAGGTGGTAGTTTTAGATAAAAGGAAATGCATGTTGTTGTAACAAACATTAACTGACAAGTTTAAAGAAGTGAAAATCCTTTACCCCTCTGATTTTGGCCAGAAGTCAGAAAACAACCTGATGACTGTGAGGTGCTCAGTGAATGGTAGTAGAGGGCAGGGTAAGTATCAAAGTGCTGTTTTGACACAGACTCAAAGGAAGTTCATTCTACTTTTAATATACTCCTGAGGATCTCCTGAAAATGCTGCAAGGTATTTTTAACTCTGAGACTTGCAACATTACGATAATCTGCTCAAGACTTTACGAGGAATGCAGCAAGGCCTTAAGTTTTTACTGTAAAGGTGTTCTGTGTAAATTTTGTCTTGACTGTTTGATGAAATACAGTATTTTTTTCTAAACCAAAAAAGAACTGAAGTCAAAGCTGTATTTTAAGAGCATTTTGACATGCAGTGAGCTGGATGACTATCAATTGATGGGACTACTGATCTAAATTTGGTAACTGTGAAGAACAGGAGAGGAACTGTGTTTATATCATTGTGTTACATGAAAACGTAGAGCTTTCCACTCAAATGAGCAGTAATGTAAATTAGCATAGATAATAACAAACCTGACTGAAAAGACTGTAACATTTCTGTACAAATTTTCTCAATTTGAGACTGAGTTAATTAGTACTATCACATTAGAAACTAGTAAAATTTCTGCAAACAGCAATAAAAGCCATATAGGAAGGTCCCAGAAAGTACACTAAATGCAAGTCAATTGTATGACTACATTTGTACCATGATAAGTATTCTTTTGTGATTTATTCCAGATACTCTGGAAAGTATTTTGGGATACACTTTTCATATATGCTGTACAAATAATGTATTACATTGTACGCTTTTAATACATCCGGTATGTAGGACATGAAAAGGATAAATTGCAATAAACACTGTATTTAAACTTGTTGTTCTGTTGTGTCAACATGAAACATGAACATGAGTCTTTTAGAAATAAACCTACCTTAAAATGTTGCAGACTTACTGTTCACAACCTTGTTTGTTCCAAACATGTGGGAATGGAAAGCGGCTCCTGCGGAGCCTCGATGTTCTCCTCGGTGTTTCCTTTGGCACACGGGCTCTTGAGAACAGGAAGGCACTCCCTGGCTAAAGACTCTCAAAGCCAAGTCACAAAAGTAGATGAACTCTTTCATGAAATAAAAAAACTATTGACTTGCACAGGATAAACAAAAACTGGGCAGCACAGCTCTTGGAAAAAAGCCCAACAGCTTCAGATAATCCAGATAACATCTGAATCCATCTGGGATGATGCTCTCCAGGCCTCAGCAGGATGAGACTGGGATGGTTGTGGCCCATCTTTATTTACAGTTTATATCCACCTCCTGATAATGGAGATTTATTTTGAAGACTTTAAAAATAAAGCAATCTACGTGCCAACTAAAGAAGAGGTTGTGCAAACACAGTAATCACAGTGTCACAGGTTTGTAATGCTCACAGGAAGAATGGCAAGTTTTTAACTCAAATAATGCTTTCCTATTTATGTGTATTCAGCTCAGATTGCCAAGAAGCCCTGATAAAATCTTGTTGGAATGGGCAGTGCTTGGTGCTGAACCTACAGCATGGGATTCTGGCAGCTGGATACAGATGCTTTTCAGAGAGCTTGAAATATTTTACATCTAAAAACTTCTGCATATGGACAGATGAGAAGTAAGTTCTCTGTGCATGAAGTCTATAATTCTGCAGAGGAAATCCCTGCTCCACAGAATGGAGATGTACATGCTGAGAGCTTCATTCCACTTACATTTTACTTCATTCTTGTTCAGCCCCTGGGGCTATCTGCATATGTAGAAGAAGAAAAGTGCATGAGAGACCTGAGTTAAGGCCCTTCCAGCCCTGCCTCAAGCACAACATTGAAGGAGCACAAGAAAAGGACACAGGAGCCATTTACAGCTCAAGGTATGTGAATGTTTTCAAAAGAAAAAGGGACTTGGTGATTTAAAGAGAAAATACAAAGTGAACATCTGTGAGGTTACAATATTCTGTAAAGGCACGTGGTATGTAGGCAATGCAATGATCTGATGGTTGCTTCCCAGTATGTTTATAGGTAGAAAGACATATAGATTTGCTTTTAAAGTGTTTGGGGCTTTTTTTTGAGAAATAAGGTTAAAAGGAAGAGTTGTTTTTTTTTTTAAGGAAATTAAATTTTACAAAGGAATTTTAAGGAAATTTTTATTTTAAGGAAAATCAAATTATTACAAAGGTGCATCATGCTGATAAGAAACGAGTTTTTTTTTCCTAAATGTAATAAAATTTATTCAATTAAATTCCAAATACTCATACCATTTTTTCTTGTTATTTTGGGGGTGATTTATGTGTAGCTTGTTTCTTCTTCTCCTCCTCCTCAATATTCCTGAGCAGAGAAACTGTAAAGGCAGTTCCCACTGCCCACCCCCCCCTGAAAAAATCCCTAGTTTCTTTTGTCCTTTTCCAAATGAAAAGAAGCAGCATTTTATAAAGTTGAAGAAAGTAGAAAACAACAACTTTTCTTGTAGAAATAATACTAAATTACTAAATCTGTATTTCCTTCTTCAAGTTTGTACCAAAGTTGATGCTGTCTCGTTGCATAGTATCTAGATACTGCCCACCTTGTTCACAACCAAGAACGTATTTCTTCCAGCACCTTCCAAATTTCAGCTACTTCTTCATCATTCTGGACTGTGGGTTACCTGTAAACAGAAAATGTTATTCCAAAATTTAACACTCATGAACTGTAAAGATGAACAATATTCCTTCCCAGTGAACTTGGACAAATACAGACTTAGTGAACAGTATTCCAAGTGAGGTACAGAACGATCAGGTAAGATTCCCAGAAGCCATGTTATTAACACTTTATTCTCTTCATTTTTTGCTCCACTTTTTTCTGTGTTTATGCAGTTTAGCACATAAATTGAATCCACTGTGAATTGCTTTTCTGTACATGTCATAGAGCAGCTGAACATTTTGCGAGAGCAGTGTTCTAATGCGATTGTTCCTTCTAGATTCTCAGTTCCCTGCTGCCAGGAGCGGTTTCCGTGCCGTGTCCCCCTCTTTCCTATTGCAGGATCAGGTGTCCCCCCCTCTTTCCTATTGCAGGATGAAGTGTTCCTTCTGCAAGACGCAGAAATGTGACATGGATGCGTGACTTAAACCTGTGTAACAGAGGCAGCAATTCAAGGAACTTGTGTCCTGTAACTGCGGGGGATCTCCCGCTGAGAAAAGCCCAGGGATTTCCCTGAACCTTAGGCAAAACTCCCCCAGGGAGTGCGGAACAGACAAAAGATGTCGAAAAATTGAGATAGAATATCACACTGGTCTCCGGGGAGGGGGAAAAGTCAGAGTCTGCTGCAGTGCTGACCCCAAAAATTCCTAAAAGGTGTCGAATTGCTCTCCAACTGAAACGCACAGGCTTTCAGCGCCGCTCCGCGCGTGCCACACGTGCCGTGCAGGGCACAAGCCGCAGTTTTCCCAGCTCTGGGTGCAGTTGTGGTGGGATGAAGGCGGGTCCCCAGCGCGGGGAGAGCGGCCCGCCGCGCCGTCCTTCGCGTTCCGAGCAAGTCGGGCCCTGCCGCCGCGCCGTCACTTCCGGCAAGATGGCGGCCCGCGGGGCTGAGGCGGGGGCCCATGGCGGCGGCTCCGGGGCTGCGCGGGCGGGCGCTGCCCGAGCTCCGCGAGATGCTGAGGCGGCAGGAGCGGCTGCTGGCCGACCGGTGAGGGCAGCCGGAGCGCGGGCGCCGAGTAGCGCGCCGGGCTTCCCGCCGACTTCGCCCGTCCCCTTGCAGGCGGCAGAGGACGAAGCGCCCGCTGCCGTTCAGCGCCTGCGGGGCCGGGAGGGCGCGGGTAGCCCCGGGCTGCAGCGGCTGGGGATGCGGGCAGCGCTCAGGCTGTACATATCCGTGTGGCTCTGCTGCCCGCGGGCACAGGGATGGACTCCTGTCCTGTGAGGAGAGGCTGAGAATTGGGATTGTTCAGCCTGGAAAGGGGAAGGCTTTGCGGTAACCCAATTGCGGCCTTCCAGAACCGGAGGGGAGCTTACAGGAACGATGGGCAAAACGATTTGCAGGAGTATGTCGTGACGGACGAGGGAGGGAAGGGGTTCAAATGAAAGAGAGCAGGTTTAGATTAGACACAGGAGGAAGAAGTGATTCCCGGTGAGGCGCTGGGACAGGAGCCGTGCCTGCCCCGTCCCTGCAGGTGTTCAGGGCTGTGCGGGGCCCTGAGCAGCCGGGCCTGGTGGAAGTGTCCCTGCCCGTGGCACGGGGTGTTCTCAGGTCCCTTCCCACCCAACCCATTTCATGGCTCCTGTGTTGCACTGACAGCACGTAGGTAGTGCTGTGCTCTGAGTGCTTTGCATCTTGCCTTGTTTCAGAAGTTTAGTTTGTAAATAAGCTGATGTTGCAGTGTGAAAACTGCCCCATTAGCTATTCTAACAAAACTTCTGTATCTCAGGTTGAAATAGGATTGTTTATAGTAATTTTTGTTTATTTGTTTGTTTTAGGAAGTTCATTGCTAGGCTTCCAGATAAGGGTAAGAAGATCTCTGATTTTGTTGAAAAGCTGAAGCTTGCCATTTTCCAAGAAGAAGAAGTAGCCAGGACAGCTGAGCTGTTATCTGCTGTCAGGTTGGAGTTTCAGGCAAAACAAGAGGAGATTAATACAAGCAAACAGGAAGCTGTCCTAACTGAGGACACAGTGGACAGTGCAGATTCCTCAGTCATTAATGAAAACTCTAACATTAAGGACATTTCTGACACTTCTGCTGAAAGGCAGGAGGCAGAATGTGTTGAAGAAGATGCCACAAATCCAGCTTTGGAAAATCACAGTATTCAGAGGAAAAATCATAAAGCAAAGACTGTTGCAAAGGATCTGAATCATTTTTGTGAAGATGTCTCCAAGTCAGCCTCAAGCAATCACCTGAACAATGATCAGCAAGTGTCCCAGAGCAGTACTGAGGGTGGGACAGAAAGTACAGCTGCTTTGGACAATAGTAAAGAAGCCTTGGTTGATGCCTTTCAAAGAGTTACAATTGCAGATGGGGAAAGCAGTGAAAAAATATTGGAAAAAGAGCAGGATGTGGCAAAACACAAGGGCAATGTATTTGGAAGGCAGCATCCCAAGACACCACATTATATTGAGGTTCTAGAGGCCAGAGCCAAGAATCCAGTCATAAAAAAACCCAAATTTAAAACAAATGCGTGAGTACTGATCTTTTGTATGTGCATAAAATTGAAAATAGTACAGAACAAGCATAATGGCTTTATTTTCTAGTGATGATTAAAGAGATTTAAAGTCTCATGACACTCAAGGTTCATATGTTGGCTCTGTAGCTTTAAATGCCACAGATCTCAGTACTGAGCAGTGGTTCCTTTCTACCCATCTGAAACAACTGTCATGAATCTTCACAGAATTTCAGAACTTAAGGTGCAAAACTACTAAACAGTTGGTAGAACTTTTGGATCAGTTCTAGAACATGTAGAACTATAATAGCTGGAAGTGTTTTGCTTTTTCTGCACTTTTAGGAAAATTACAGTCTACGTTGTCTGTTCTGGTAGCAGTAACAGTTTGTACCTTGTGTGACTGCCACAGCATTGCTGCTTCAGTCTGCTAATAAATCAGCTAACCAGTTTGGTTCATTGTCAGGAGTAACTTTTCTGTCTCTCTGCAGAGAAGTAGTTCTGTTTTCTCTGAGTGCTGTTTACTTCTTATTTGTCTGTGTTTTCATAGCACTTCAGATTTATTTTCAGCTCTTAAAAGTAGGTTTTGAAACTGAAGTTGTTCAGCCTTGTGATGCAGATTTGGATCACAACACAGGTGTTTTATGTCTTCTAGACTATCAGGAGAGCAGAGTGGGTCATCTCATGGTTCCTCATCCAGTCGATCTCCCGGGGGATTTGGCTCTCCAGTTCCTCCAGAAGAGAGAAGACTCAGAGATAAGAAACATTTGGATGACATCACAGCAGCTCGACTGCCACCACTTCACCACTCCCCTGCCAAGCTGTTATCCATAGAGGAATCCATAGCAATTCAGATACAGCAAAAAGAAGCTTATGAGGTATGAATGTGCAATTTGCTCTGAAAATTCTATAACCAGGATCACTCCCAAAACAGAAAAGATAAAGGGATCTTTTCATAAAGGTGAATTGAGATGGGCAGACTTTGAGGAAAGGCACTTTGTCTTGTATTTGGTTCTTTTCATGATATAATTAAAGAAGGCAGGAAAGCTCTCTGAAAGTGTTAGTCTTACATGAAACAAAATCTTTGTGTGTTAATATGCTGACCTGATTGCACTCACTTCACCTCTGACTAGAAACTTAAATGTACACCTTCCCTATTAGTGATGAGAGCTTTTGTCCCTTGCATAAATGAAGGCCTAGCAGTATTTGTTATTCTTGAAATATGCAAGTGTCTGCATTTGCCTTTATTTATGCTGTGTCTGAAGAATCCAGGTTCTGAGGTTCTAAATTCTGTTATAATGGATTTTGACTTTGCAGGCAGTGTCAGGCTAATGTTTAAATTAGACACTATTGTAGGAGTGTTCTTTTAAAACTGACATTACTATATCACAGGTGGGGGCTGCCACTTGGAGAACTTCAACTCTTATTAAAAAAGTCAAATATTAATAGCAGAGTTATGTATAAGTGTGAAAAGAAAATTTCTTTGCTAGTTGCTAAAACTTTTAATTAAGCCCACTTTGGAATTACTACTACTACTACGATTATTAATATTATTATTAAGTGTATATTTTAGTACATTAGTTTATTCATGAGAATGACAAATGAACACTTTCTAACCTGTGTCCTTTTTTTTCTGACATAGGAAATGCAAGCCAAGCTTGCAGCACAGAAGCTTGCAGAGAGACTGAATATAAAAATGCTCAGGTTTGAACCAGAGGGGGAGGCCTCAATGCAGTACAGAGAAGTGAGAGATGAAGATTATTTTTCAGCAGAAGACTGAATGCATGAAGTCTGTGGATGAGCTGTGTAACTGATCTTTATGCAGTATTTCTAAAAACCCAAACCTGAATATTGAGAATGCTTCGTCTAGTCAGTTTTTTCTTAAAATTTTCACATGACAGCTCCAGGAAGGGTTCAGTGCAGAGTTGCAGGCTAGGATGGGTCAGCTATAAGAGCAAGTTTCTTCTGTGCAGAAATGTGATTGCAAAGGGCTTTGGCACAAAACATGTCCATAAAGAAAGCTGGGGTGTCTGTGAACTGCTGACATGTATGAAAGCTCTTGTCTTCTATAAATGTGGGCTACTTCTTTTACCTATTTATTATTACCTTTCATGGTATGGTGAAAATACCTGCCCAGAGAGTTACAGTAAGTGTCTGATCTTTGGGCTGGAACCACACGAGAACTTATTTCTCTGCCTGCACCTTAAAATAACACTTGCTGCCCTTAAGTTGTAAACAGCTAAGAATTTAAAGTTATTTTGTAACTCAAATTCTGTTTGGGCTTTAAGGGACTCTGCTGTTTGGTTTTTGTTTATTATGGCAAAGCACATCAAGAGATCAAGTTCATCTGAAGACTTTACTATTCTTATTAAAGATTTTTATGTTTTTCTGTATTTTTGTACACTGCTTTTATACTTTGGATGTACTATTTTTTCATAGTCCAATACTGTAAATTAAGAGATCCACCCTGGTTTTCTTGGAGGAAGTGTTGTGTGCATTTTTAAGTTTTGGCTGTTACTTGAAGACAAAAAACAACCTTTCTTACATGACCATGAATATGAAAATACGAATTTTGAAAGATAAGGAACACACCTGACAACTGCTTCATAATGGTATTTTCACTGTGGGCTAGGATTTTCTGAGCCTAGTTTGAGTTCAGTTCTTAAAAAAAAAAAACCTCAGAGATTCCTTGTATAGCCTGGCAATGCCTGTTTTCCAGGATGCTGCCACAGCTGTGTGTGCAGGGCTGTCCCTGTTCTGCAGGAATGATATCTTTGGAAACCAAGGCTGCTCCAGCTGCAAGTCATTTAAAAAGCTGCACGGGATGAAAATGTGGGAGGAAGGTCTCAGCCACTTCTTGAGTGCAGGCAGCCCTTCCCTAGCAGGCAGTAACTCTCTCCCAAGTGCTCCAAGCCCTCCTGGGCAGTCCCTGTGGCACAGTCTGTACCCTGGCACTGCAGTTGGACAGGTGGAACTGCTGCTAAGCTACTTGTGATATTTTTTGACTAGGTCATCTCTTGCTCCTTCCTGAACCCTTTCCTCTTGCAGCCTTCTGGTTCTCATTGTTCATTGGCTTCTCATCAGCTGCTCTTCCCTTTTTCTCATTAGGCTTACTTGCTGTCACTAAACCCAATCCATATTCTGCCTCCCTGCACCACCCATTCCTTTTCCAATGACATGCTGCTGTGTGTGTCTGTGTGTGACTCCTGCCATGTGTCATGCATCCTCCTGCCATTGCTATCTTACCTTGCTTTCTGGAACTCTATCTGAATACCAGCTGTGCACCTCCTACATGCCTCAGTCCCTTGAATACCTCACAGAGACCTCAATATCTTTGTAGTTTTGCCGTGACTGCTCTCCTGAGGCTTTCCTTATTTCCTGATTTGGTTTTAGACTGTGCAGATGTTTGTCATTTCCAGGCCTTCTCACCTTTCTACCTTCTTTTCATACTTGGGTTTTTTTCCTTCCTCTCTTGTCTATGCTCCTTCATCCTCCCAGCTTCTCACCATCACTTGCCTTTGTCAGCACAATCCTTTGGCTTGTTTTCAGCCATTCACATTCATCCCTCAGCATCCCTGTTGATGACCCAGTGGATCTCAGTTGTATCTATTTCTGTTCAGCACGTGGCTCTGACTCACAGGTCAGATGAGTGATCTCTTGTGGGTGCAGCTCATCTCTCAGATCAGTGCTTTCCATGCTGCCACCTGCTTGTCCAGCTGCATCTTGTCATCAGCCCTCCCATTATTGCAGTCTGTACTGCTCAAGGACAAGGAGTCTAGGAATTGTGTTTGCTTTCCCTTTGCTGTTTCATGAAACAAATTACCACTTCCATGCTGTTTGCATCTTTTCCCCTGGTTGGCATCCTTGCCCTTATCCTGTACTGGCTGTGCTGTCACACCTCTGTGAGATGCTGTGTGTGTTTTCTCTCTGCTGACTTTTCTGTGTTGTTGGAATTCACACAAAGCTATGCAGTTAGGGAGTTGTTTTCTAGAGTACTGAAATTTACCTCTACCTAGGCTTCTGCTGAGCACACACTTCTGCTAACTAAACCAACTCTTTTTTTTTTTTTTTTTTTTTTTTTTTTTTGTACTATTAACACATACTTTTGCTCTCTAAACTTTAAATCAGAGGCAGTTTTCTTGACCTTTATTTTGATAGCATTCAGCATGTTGGGCTTTTGCCAAAATGATCCCTGCATGGGCAAACTTCACCCTTCAGGGGAGGTAGGGTGGGGTGGAATTCACTGTGGTAACAGGTGAAGTTCATTATGTGTTCGTTGAACAATCAGCAGCTGTTCAGTGCAGTTTTGGGGAGTTCTTGTGTGAATACCAAACCAAGCTAAAGGTATGAATTTTAAGTTATTATTTTAAAGTTTGCAAAACCTAAAAGCTTTCTTGGGGGCTGTTGCTTCTGAGCAGAGGTATGCACTTTGAATTAAGATTCTGTGAATGATAAGAAAGCAAAATCAGGTTTAAAGAGTCCTGTGTTGAGGACGTGCAATCTTGAAGTCTGTGAGAGGTTAGAGCACAAGAGGATCGTGAAAGGATTTGCTGGATAATGAAAGGATGAATCATTAGATTGAGTATGGTATTGCTGTCGTGTATTTCATTGTTTCCCAGTTCTAGATCATGTCAAAATGTATATTGAGAGCTGAGGTGTAGTAGTGCATTTTATTTAAACGGTATGCTCTGTCTCAGCCCTCCAAAATGTATGGTATATCCCAAGCCCGTGGTCCTGCCCTGAACCATCGTGTATCTGTCATCCCATTGGCCCAAGTCTGATTCCGCACCCATTTTCATTCTCCCTCTTAAACCGTGCAAGCAAGACCTGTCGCTCTCTTAGCCTTTCTCCCCTCTTAGCCCCTTTTTCTCCCCTCTTCTCCCTCCCCTAGGCCTTTTCCCTCTTCCCCTCCCTCCCCCTTTCCCCTTCCTCCCCTTCAGTAACCACCGTGCTCCCAGGGATGTGATCCCCAATAAACCCTCATCAATCAGCACCCTCAGAAGCCGTGTGGAGTCTCCTTGCCTGCCTGCTGCTGCCAGCCAGCTCACAGCCTAGGGGAACCTCCAGGGACAGCCCGGGGTGCCCCCCCAAAATGAACCACAACACTGAGGAGCTTGTTCTCTGTTTTGAGAATGGACTGCTATATTGGAATGGGTTGTTAACACAGTAAAAATAAGAATGGATAATATATTTTTGAAGTTGTTCATGTGAATAATGTTTTGTTTTGACCATGTAAAATTTAGAAGAGAATTGGAACTCTTGTGCTTCAGTGCTTTACGAGGAAAAGGAAACTAGGAAAGCATTGCTATGTAGGAAAAGAAAACTAGGGGTCCAAATGGATGAGGAAAGACCTGAGAGACCTAAAGCTGGCCAGTCTTGCAGGTCTGAGAGATGGCACAGAGACACAGCTTAAATGTGGCCTGTGGTCAGAGAGCTGCAGCATGTGAGGCAGGGATGTGTGCAGCGCCAGCTGCAGGCCCTTGGTTTCTGCATTGCTGGGGTACCTGATTCCCAAACTGCTCAGAAGAAAAGCCCTGTAGATTTTCTGTGCAGCAGCTTTAACCTTTCTGAGGGAGCGAACATGTAATCTGGCTTGCCTGCTATGGTGATATCATCTAGACGATTTAGCCACCTAAAATTTTATGCTAGGTATTTAGAAAATAACATTTGAAGAAAAACCTAAATACTGCTGGACTTTAATTATTTTTGGCAGACTTTGAGAATGAGGGTAGAAAGTACACAGTTGTTTTTCCTGTTTTTTAGAGTTCTTTTGATAGTGTTCTGGCTTGTGGACTACTTCTAAGGGCCACATAATCAAAAAAAGTCAGTGACAGTGAGCTGTGAGCCTCCTGTGTGGAGGAAACGGGGCTGGTAAATTGAGAGAACTTGGAAACTGTGGCTCAGTGCTGTGGAATTTCTGAACCTGCCGCAGGGACACAGTATCAGGAGTCAGGGAGAACAATACCCAGACATTACTGCCTGATGAATCAAAAGGTGAGTGGGAAGCCACAGCAAGAGCTGCTCACGGTCCCTGAGCAGACCCGGGCAGCAGTCTGGGGGTTTCTGTGTGGATCTCCAGGCGCACCACAAGCTGGCAGCCTTCAGCAGCCTCCCGGCAGCCGGCCCTGAGCAGCGCGGAGCAGCGCGCTCCCTGCTGTGGGTGTGCCTGTGGCTGCAGCTCTGCTCCTCTGCAGCTCCACTGCAGAGCCAGCTCGGCACCCAGGAGCCTGCAGGTCATGAGCCACGCTGGGCTTTGCCAGTGAAAATTATCTGTAGTAGGACCCAGTTCTGGCATGGTTTGGGTGGTGTCTGGCTCATCCTCTGCCTTTGGCAAGTTAGTGCCTGCAAGGCGTGTGCTTGGGCACGGGGAATTGCAGCTGGCCTTTTATTGCAAATGCAAATGAATGGCTTTAAGAGGACAAGCGGAGGGAGTGCTGAGTTGGAACAAGCTGTGTCCTATCCTGTGGACTCTACTGTAGGAAAAGGCAGCTTTTCTCAGTTTTCCCAGCCCTGCTTCTTTTTCAGAGCAGGATAAGAAGCATATTTTCTCCAAAGTATGTTGTAAGGACAAATTTTTCAGGGTGTATGTGTTGCACTTTGTAGTCCTGTTCCAGGGAGGTGCTAACTGATCCTTAGTTTCCCTTAGTTTGTGGTTTACAGGTTTTTTTGCAAATTCACTGCTTTTAGGTGATATGTGTGGAGATCACCATTGAGATTTCGTGGTCTCCTAATGTTTGGGTTTAGGTTGTGAACTCCCACGTTCTGGAAGGGAAAGGAAGTAGAAAAGACAGCTGCGTGAATACATTTGTTTTGTTGTGGTATTGTTTGTTTTTAAGTCAGCTAATGATTGTGTTTGGTTCTCATTCTCTGCAGTGCTATGTCACTGCTGCCACTGTGGTGGGCAAATGTTAACTGACTGCAGCCCACACATTTTCCAATCACATTGACTTTTCATGGGGCATGGATGCACATTTGACTCCTTTGTAAATCCATACTGTAATTATTATTATTATTATTAATGCAAAGTTTTAGAGACATTTAATAATCTCTTGTTTAAAGCAGCTGTTCTGATCACTTGGCTATTAAGTTTTCACTAAATTGCCCTTTGATTTAGTGAAGCATGAAAGCTTCACTGTAATACTCAGCTGAAGTCAAAGCTTGATTCCTCCAGGAACATTTATATGCAAGTGCTCTGTTGAACTGGGATATTGGCTGTGTGTTTTGTTTAATCTCTGTGTGCAAGGCAATTTGTGAATAAGAGTTGTGAACCAGTTACTGGATGTGAGGAGACACAAATGAACCCAGTGAAATGCATGTGGGAAGCAAATTGATTTTCAACTTGCTAGAATCATTGAACTAAGCATTTCACTTCTAATCACCTAATATGAGTGAATGTGTCCTGCAGCAGTAAGCTTCAGAGCAGTTTCTTGACAGGAAAATTTGTAGGAATTTGTATTGACACCCTCATTGCTTTTCTTTCAGGTTTATATTGGAGACCATAATTGTGTCATGCATGAATTGGCAGATCTCCACTGAAATCTTGAGGGATATAAGTGGAGCCATAATGCTTAATGAACATATTCCTATTTCCTCCCTCTCTCCACACAGCTGGTATTAATGTACTTGCTTATTAGATCAAGACAGTGATATAATGTGGCAAGTGGTTGCAGTCCAAGGTTTGCTGAGGCTCTGAAGCTGAGTACTTGATAGGAAATATTCTTTACACACTTCTAAATAGAAATTTCATTTGTAAAATTTTTGTACTTTTTTTTTTCCCTGAAAAAAATGTTTTCTCAATTGTTACTTGATGAGAGTAACATACACATTAAATTTACTCAGAGAGTAGTCAGACAGTGGTGGGAGTACTGCAGCTCTGGCTTAACAGCAGAAGATCTCCTGCACTAATTTCTGAATTGAAGCTGTCATCTGCCCTGCCTGACCTGTGCTGCCCTGGGCCCAAATACTGTGACAAACCTTGTACTGCAGGATCACAGCTGAGTCTGGAGGTGCAATGACACCATCTCTAGGGGATCTTGGTGAGGGAGACTCTGCAAGGCTGAATGCTCAGCTGTTAGGGCTTTACCTGGTAGGTGGATACACCTTCCCAAACTGACACTGTAAGGAGAGTAAATTACACAGTCAATGAGATTTACATTACCAAGTCATTTAAGCAGTTTTCCATTGCAGTTGCCAGGTGCCTGTCAATGAGAACTAAAATTCCTCACCAAGAGAGGAACCTGGTATTGGTACCTGGGTACTAACTTGAAAACATGAAACAGCATTGGCACTCTTTCCTTCAGCCATCTTATAACACTACTGCCACTTATATTAAATTAACATTGATTTTATTCTGTATTCTTACAAATCTCTAAAATTTATTCTTCCAGAATTTGCCTACAATGAAATAAACCTCCTGATTTTGGGTAACAGATAATATATATAAACATAAGCTGGGTTATCTGGCCATTATTTGTATTTGAATGTATGAAACCTTCAGGGACTGTGTGATAAGCTCTTTCTGTTACCACTGTTACGAGTGGTCTGTGTTGTCTCCTGGTTACTATAAAAGTCTTGATGTAATTCTGGTTTCCAGAGTTACAATCCATCAGTTCCATTTGTAATTATGTGGGAAATTATTTTGTCATTGGCTTTCTCCCTGCATCTTCCTTATGGGGGAGAAAAAAACCAAATCCAAGCCACACAGATTCATAAAGCCTTTCTTATATGTAATAATATTTTCTTTACTGACCCAGGTTATTTCATATTGATTAGAAGTTCCTAAGCCTTGGTTTCATGTGTCTTCCTCAGAACTGCTTTAAGTTGGCATTGTACTGATTATAGGACTGCTTGAATGATAGCTGATGATAAATATTATCCGTGCACAGACATTGGGCATCATCATGTGTCATGTCTGCAGACCAGTTTTTTGCCTGCACGGCAGATTTTTGTGGCTGTGAGCCAGGAATTTTAATGAAAGAAAACATCAAAGATGCAGAAGAAATGAGAATATTAGTCAAGGAAGATACACAGTGATGCTCTCTGATAACCCCTGGTAATTGACATTAGAACTATGTGGGAGCAACTTAAATAAACATCTGGACACTGAGTTTAGACATTTCCAGTGACAAAACCCAGACAGATCTTCTGGACTTGCAATAATAAATATTTCAGCGCAGTCCACATGAATCAACTTAGAATTCTGTTTTCAATTATTCTAGTTTTATAAATATATCATAGTTAATTATTCAGGGATACAGTTTCTTTTGAAGATTAAGGAATTTGATGGTTGCTTCATTCACATAAAGTTCCATTTTTTATTTGTACCAAACTTACTTCTGTTTGTACAAAAACAATAATGCAAGCTTGCCAGAAGCCATTAAAGTAGAATGCAACTGAACTTTTCCTGGAGTGGAAGGGCCTTTTCTGAAATTCCTGGCAGTGCACTTTACTTCATTCCAGCTATAGTAACCACTTAAATTATGCTGAAAAGAAAATAATAAAAAATCATTTTTAAAAGTTATTCTCAATATTTAGAAGAGACTTTATTTTTTTACTTTTGGTAATGTGATAGTGCTAAGAATGTGGTATCCCTTACAAACAGTGAAGAGATGTTTATATCTACCAAAGTATTTTAAAAAGATAATAATGGAGCTACTAGACTGAATGGAATACTGGTTACAGTCCAGGTCTGATCCTGGTAGTACAACTGTGAGGAGTCAATGGCTAGCAAAAACATGCTTAATTTTTGTATTATCTCTGTATTCTTTAGAGAAGCCTCTACTGTGGGCTCTAATTGCAAAACCACTTATTTCAGGAGGAATGAATCATGTCTCTGAGGTCGAAGAGTTATTTCCACATTATATTAAAATTACTATATTCATGCTTTTAAAATAATAATAATTATTATTATTATTTTGAGATTATATGTACCTTTGTTACTGGGGGCCCTGGACAAAATGAGGAATTCTTCTGAAATGTACTCAGTATTTAGTAATCTTCAATTTCCACTTTCAGTTTAATTTATGCTTCCCCACAGCCCAGCCTGTCAACATCAGCACGTTTCTGCAGTTCCCTGCCCTGGCTGTCACTAGCAAGAGCACAAGTGTAAGCTGGCTGCCAGCGTTATTGAGCCACTGGCCGAGTTGTACTATACCACTGGGTTAAGAAAGTTTTAGGGGACTACTGTGTTAGTCTGACCTTTCAGAGGCAGGAGAGGCAGACACGAGTTGAGTACAATTCAGAAAGTCTCTCTTGTGCTGGCTGACAAAGTAGTTTCTGCACCAGGCTGGGCTCGTGTGGCAGTTCAGGTTAGAAGGGACCTCAGGAGAGCTCCTGGCTAGGATCCTGACAAAGCAGTCAGTTCTGAGGCCAGGTGACATTGCTCACGGCCTTAATCCAGACTGGCCTTGGCAACCTCCAAGGAAGGAGACCATACAGCTTCTCAGGATAACCTGTTCCCAAATATGACTGTCCTCCTGTGAGGCCAGGGACAAAGCCTCTCCTTGTTCAGCTTATGCCTGGCTATGTTTTTTGCTGATGTCCTTACAGGTACTGGAGGATGCTGTTCAATCCCCTTGAGGTCTCCCCTTCTGCAAGCTGAACAGGTACACTGCTGGCTCAAGCAGCTCGCTCTTTACCAAGACCTTCAAGGCCTTTTCAGCAGGGCTGCTCCACAGCTTGTCATTTCTGGGCAAACCCTAGGCAAGCATGTCAGGAAGTTGTAGGCTGACAAGTGTATTGTGTTTGGTTCTGTCACAGCTCTCTCAGATTAATAAAGAATGTGTATTGTACTTGGTTCTGTCTCAGCTCTCTCAGATTAATAAAGAATGTTTTCTGCTTTCATATTTTAAAAACAAAAAAGTAACCTAGACTCCGATCAGGGTAGCCATGCTATCCAAAACTTCACTGTTAATTAAAACAAGGCAATTTGTGCTTTGTAACCCTTTCTACATACTATAAAAGTGATGGATAAGGAAGCACAGTGAAAGCTATAAATCAGCCTTGAGTTTGATAATCTAATAAGAGCATCTCTTTGGCAGTTTCACCTCTTGCTCATTGATCTATAGCTTACTAATTAATTTTCCTTAGTTTTATCCTTGTGTTTATTAGGATACCTAATTCTTTATTGCTAAAACTATGCACCGGAAATTTGTAGTGTTATAGTTCAGACAGTGCAATTTATTCATTGTTATAGGAAAACAGAGGAGGAAGACAAATTATTTAGAAGTTTATTACTTAGAGAGGTGCACTTGAGCAAAGACAGAGAATAAAGCAGAATGGATTTTCAAGGGAAGATGTACGTTGTGAATGTTAAGCAGCTCTTGTAACAGAGGAATTATGTGTTGAATGATTCCCCCTAGGAAAGTGTTCAGTTCTCATCTGCAGGTGCTCCCAGAGCACTGACTGCAGGGAGCAGCTCTGCACTGGAGAGGTAAATGGATAATGGGATGTGGGGAGGTTGCTTTGTGTATGCTGCCCATGCCATGACTGCAGCATTCCCCTCTGTCACAGGGCAGCTGCTCTTTCCAGCTGTATTTGTGGTTAAAACCTGAGGGTATGGTTTGGATACCTTAACTCTCATGGAATTTAAGGGAAATTGCTCATCAGATCCTGAATCTGAAATACATTGATAGTTCTGATTTTCTCCTGCACTTTTGTTTTCTGATCTTGCTGAAAGGATGGGGCAGTATGGGTAAATGCTTTGCTTATCAGCTCTGCCCCATTCCAACATTACTTTTTCCCAAGGAGGAAAAATGCTGATAAAAAACAGTAATAAAATTAGTTTCAAATCATTTGTAGCAGATGAAAATTCTTTATATGCATTCTTTTTGTGCTTTGTCTAAAGGCAAAAGAGCTCAAGCTCTGTCTTGACCCTTCATTTGACTCAAACTACCACACAGTACAGAGGAAATGAAGTTTATAGGTTTGTACTTAATGGCTGTTGAGACACTTGACACATGTACATTTAAAATGTTAACTCATTTCTCTATTTCAGTGTTTTTATTTCCTAAATGATTATTAAGTTTTGTAGAGATCCAAAGATAACAAACTTCTAGGTAGTACATATATTACAAGCTGAGTTTTTTGCTCATGTGCCACATACTTATATCATATGCAGATAAATTTGAAAAATGAAAAGAAAGCAAGATGTAGAAAAAATGTTAAGTAAATAATTCATTAGATGGTAAAGTTCTCACTTTCTTTATAAATAGCACTTGGTTTAAAACAAACAAACAAACAATCAAAAAACCCCAACCAAACCCCGCAGCTGCAACCAAAGCAGCAAAGAGCATGTATTGTTATTAGGTTATCAGAATCCTCCTGCAGAAAAGAGTACAGGTCAGGTATAGTAGACAGATGTTAAGAAGAGCTCTGTTCTCTCTCTTGCAAGCAGTTCTCATGCTTATCAATTGTGTTTGGCTTTTAGAATAAAGGTAATTGGCAAAGTACCATGTCATATTTCATCCATTATGCCTGTCTTATGAAGTATCACACACTTCTTCCTAGAATAGGTGCTCCCCCTCCTCTCCAGAGATCAGACTCTGCTTTTACTTGTGGAATGGGTCTGTGGGAGGGTCACCCGAACTGCACTCTTCCTATCTTTTAAAAACAGGGAGATGAGAGATAAAGTTTCATAGGTCTGGAGAGAGCAGCAGTTTGTATTTCAGTCGGTGTCACATCTGTCTGACTCGTGTATGTGGTCCATAACTCTCTGCCACGTCTTTGGAGGGAAGTGCTCCAGAGGACTTGGTGTGCTCTTTTTTGTGCTTTAGTGTGTTAAGAAAGAATAGCTCCAAAATATTTGGAGGCTCTAGGAGTCCGTGATGTAGAGATTAGGATGAAAACCCAGCACACCTTTTCCAGATGTGTAAAGAAGGACAGTATGACACTCATTCTTAAACCTAGCCTATACTTATGTTCCCTGCTAAATTGATGTCTAAGTAAATAGCTTTACTGGTGGAGTAGAGGAGACATGAGAGTCAGGTTACACTTTATCACAGAACTTGATATGAAATCCATACTTTGTTCCCTGGACAGTGCAGTGAGATGGATATCTGTAGTAATGTAAGGGGATTTGTAGGAGTGCTATATGTCACAGGGCTGCCCTGGATCAAATAGCATTTAAATACATTGTACATGGGCTTTGATCAAGGACCACGGGGCCACGGCTAGCCCATGGAGCACCAGGAGACTCACACACAGCCTGCCACTGCAGCAGGAAATGTTTTCCCAGGTTATGGTTTTACTGTTATTAAAGCCGGAGATGTGCAGTACAGGATCACCCAACTAGTACTGACTAGTTAAACCAGGATACTGTGTGGACACACAACTTACTCCTGTTTTCTATGTAGCTGGAGCAGTCCCAGGGTGATGGCTATGCTGCCTTTATGATTCTTTGCCAGCTGTGTAAGGACAGTACTGGATCTGGCACACAGCTTGCCAGGGGAAGAGTGTTTCTCAGACCAGCTGGAACAACTGAGACTCATGTGATCAGTCTGAATCAGTGTTGCTATTGTTTCATATGTTTTGTTTGTGGTTGGACTAGGTGCTTAAACCCAGGTGGTGTCTGATTGAGGACAGTCCCAATTTGTGCATCTGTCTGAAGAGTCGATGTCCCCACTGTGATCATCCTGTTCCCCACTGCAGAGCTGTGCCATACAAGGCATTTAGTGGCTTTTGTTTTTGTGCCAATGTTTCAAGGATGCCATAGTAATTTTAAAACCTAAGGTAGAGAGAAACCATTTTTTTCCCCTCCCCACAAAACCAGCCTTGTTTGGGATTTGTTTTAGGGTTTGAAAATGGTAACTAGTGTTTTGTGTAATTAATGCCCTCCATGAGGCACCTGTGTGGCACCAGGCAGCACCCCAGAACCCTGCCTGGCTTGACAGGGCGATGGAAGCAATGGAATCTCATTAGCACCAAGCTCTGCCTGGGTTAATGAAGCCCTGCTAATGAACAATGTTGTGCTAGGTAGAGTAACCTCATGTCAGTAGACTAACTAACCATGATCAGTTTGGATATTAAGAGGGTTTGAAAATATCTTCTGATATTTTTATTGATAATACAGGTATATGCAACCTTGCCTGATCCTATTTCTGTTCCCATTGCTTGAGGAATATAGCTGGCCTGTTTGTAGCTTCTGACTAATGGCAACTCTAACACAATTTTCTGTGGATTTATGATGCTCAGCCAAGCTGATATAATCATGTAATAAAGATCTATTTTTTTCCTGATACTTTAATTAAATATCAGAGCTCCTTACAGAGCTTCAGAAGAGGGGAAGCACACGAAGTGGGAGCTGTGCCTCGCGAGTCACTCCCCAGCCCGGCCTGGTCTGCGGGGAGCAGCCCAGCTCGGGCTTGTGTTTGTGAGGGGCGGCACAGCGACAGCGACAGCGACAGTGCCGGCGGCTCCAGGCGGCCTGCCCCGGGCTGCGAGGAGCTCGGTGAGAGCTGAGCAAAAACTTAAAATGGGCCCTAGCCTGGAGGTATTGTACTCTCCCTGGCTGACAGCCTGGGCTGGAGCGCAGCCAGGGAAGGCGGAATGGGGCCCTAGGGCTCTGCAGATATGAACACAATAAATAACCCCGCGCAGCGCCCCTTGCGCGCCGCGCGGAGCCGGCAGCGCCATCCTCTGCGCGGCCTCCTGAGGGCACCGGGCAGCCGCGGCTGCTTTCTATTATTAAAAGAGGGAAATGAAAAAAAAAACCAACCCACAAAAAAACAACACCCCGCAATGTAAACATTCTTACAATTGCTGCGGAAACTGGATATAACCAGGTTATTCAAAGGGGAAAAAAATTAAGCCATCTGTACATGCCAAGTTTGCCTTCACATCTGTTAATTGTAAGGGGGTGATTTTAAAAAAGAAGTCGTGTTTTAGAGCCTGGTTCGGCAAAGGCCGTGAATGTGTCCCCTCGAAAAGAAGGTTAAATGTGCCCGTGTGCCATGAAGACGTTTCCATGCCGGTGGCCGTGGAAAGACACCGTGTTTCCCTGGGCTGTGCCGCGGGAGCAGCGCCGGCCGGGGCTCCGCGGCCCGGGGCTCCGCGGCCCGGGGCTCCGCGGCCCGGGGCTCCGCGGCCCGGCGCTCCGCGGCCCGGCGCTGAGGGCGGCCCGGCGCCCCGGTATTGTCAGCGCTGTGTTGCTATTATTCTGTCAGCAGTGCACGGTAAGAACAAATGAGCCCTGTTTCAAAAAAAATTAAAGGACAGAAAATGCCAGTGTTGTTGCTACTATTACATTTTAGGAATGTATTGTCTTACTGCAACATTATTGCGTTACTCTTACATCATCCACAACGTGACATTTCTGAGTTCAGTACAGTCATTTTAACATCAAATAGCAAATCTTTTACCTCACAAAATCTTCAGTTGAGTTTAGCTTGGAGACATGTTTAAACTTAAAATAAAGACAAGTCTGTTTTGGCTCTGCGTGCTCACATGAGTGCCTGTCTCTGGTGGTCTATTTTAGAGAGCCACGATCCACTTCTTACTGAAATTCTGATTTCAGTAGGAAAATCTAAACATCAGAATCATTGGTTCAAACTGATGTGCTCTGGTTTCTTGGCTGTTACTTGAAAATGTCATCCCATTAGAAACACACTTATGTCACTGCCCATTATTTTATTGTGAATTTCAAAATATTCAGTAGGGTTTGGGGGCTGGTGTTTGTTTGTTTGTTTTTCTTTAAGACTATCACCTGAAACAATAATACATGAAAATCTTGGCTTCAGCTGTATAAGGCGAGTTTCTATGCCTGAAATCTGGAACATCAGCCCCAAAGGTAAAATATTTTCTTAATTCTGTCAGTTATAAAGAATCCAATGCTTTCTGTGTTTACAAATAGATAAATAAATAAATCAACGAATTCCCATGATTTTCTGTTTGGAAATTTGCTAGATTTTTACTGTTTAGAATTGTTAATACTGAAAATAAATACAGCAGAGGAAGAAAGCATGTTCTGTGCCTGATCAAATGAACTCTTAACATAATTTGGTTTTCTAAGTGGCCTTTTAATTTTAAAGAACAAGCTATTCTTATATAAAGATTCCTTTCATTAAGTTGTTTAGATGTTTTTCTAAAAGGAATTTATTGGTAAACTTTATTTGTCAGTAGAATAATAATTAAGATGTAAATAAATTAATATTCAATAACTGGAAGTTACAACACACACAACAAAATGGTTTAAATAACATCCTGTAAAAAGTAATCTTTACTGCATTATTGCACTGTTAAAGCTCAAGCTTTCAGATACAAAGGCGTTATCAAATTATGACACAATCCTCCTTTCTAACATCTTTAAAGGTACATATTGTGTAAGTTTACATACATAAATAAGTTTACATACATATATGACACTTGGAAGCATTTGAACAAGATGCATTAAATTAATCTTTCAGTGAGGTTTTGTACATATTGCCTTGCAGAGTACTTGGGGGAGCATGAGTATTTGCAAGGATATCTGTGACATCTGTTCTTAATATTCTAACATCTTTCTTCCGTGTATGTTTGATAGACAACATATTTTTGGCAGTCTTTGTTATTAGAATTGCCAAAATGTTGATATTGAGTGCCTTGGTTTTCGATGAGTGCAAGCCAGAATGAGCCTTTTCAGAGATTCATCTTTGGAACCAAGTTTTTTCTAGAAAGTCATGTGTTTCAACATTCTTTTTAGGTAATCAGAAATAGATTTATAATAGAATAAGGAAATTATTTCTGTTCAGGAACAGTTGTTCATATATGTCTGCTCCCTCATCTTTGTTTCTGATCTGTGTATTTTTAAACATAACAGTGTGTTAGAACTCCATCCAAGTACCAGGCCGTGGGATTTTGCTTTACTAGATCCTTAACCCTCCTAAATGCCCATTGTAAATGCATTGATATGAGTGTATAAATGGCATTTCATTAAGGGATTTTCTGAGACTCAGATGTAACAGTGTTGAGCACTGTGCTGTGCAGTTTTTAGAGTTCTGAGTAGAGAGTGAAAGGCACAGCCATGAGTTAAGTGCCAGGGCTTCTTATAAAATATGTGAGAAGCCCCCTCTGAAAGATCCGTGTAAAGTCCAGGTAACACCAGAAAGCAAAAGGAGAAACAGTGAGGAAGTACCTCTGAGTACTTTGGATTAGCAATCTGAAAAGAAATAAGGTTCCTGGGTATTTCTTTTCAGAAACTAAGTGACTGTCATTTCTCTGAAATCACACCAGCAAATGATTAGGTGTCTGTAGAATTCAGCTGGGATTAAGTCCTTTTATTGCAGAGCCTGCGACTTTCAAGTCTGTTTGTTGAATGTCTTGGAAAGGTTCATTAGCCAGGGGCACACGAACCGTCCTGTACTGGTACAGGCTGATATCCTCAGGGAAAGCTGTTACCCAGTCTAGCAAACCTCAGGGAGAGAGAGACCATGGGTTCAAACCTATCTGACATGTTGAAGAGAGAGATCAGGTTCCAGTTGCTCTTCAAAGCAGTACTTTGGTGGAGAAGCAGTATAACCCACTTTTCCTGCCCTAGGAAGACAGACAAGGCTGCAGCTGCTTTTTCTGGAGAGGCCAGTGTGAGCAATAGGAATGCATTCTGGATCAGACACTAGTGATGACTGCATGAATCCTGCTGGTAAGTGCTGAACTGCATAGTCCTCCCATGTGGCAAGTCAGCATGTATGTAGAAGCCAAGCTTTAGGTATGAAGACAAATTCAAGGTGATAACTGAGGCATAGATCCTTCAGTGAGAGAGCATCAGGAGCGGGTTTCCAACCCTGTGCTGCAGTTTTTAACCTATGTGTGATTTTCAGAGCAGAACCTAAGTGGGAGCTGAGTGCATGTCAGCTTCATTGATTGGACCTACTCACCTAAAAAAGTTGGAATTTAGTCCTATGTGACCAAAAATTGGTGATGGAGATATTTTATACAACAGATACATGAGCCAAAGGTCTCATGTTTATATCTGTTTCAGAATCTGCAGAAAACAACTGTGAAATGTCTTGCAGACACTGAGATCCTGGCCCTGTCAAGGTCACAGGGGCACTTCATAACAACTTAGATCAAATCTTGTAATGTGATATTTAATTTTGACTGTGAAGGTTTCTCTTGTAGAAATAAAATTAATTATGCTGCTTTATAGTGTTGCCTCACATTACAAATATTTATTTGCCAAATTAGTGTTTATTTATAATCCTATAAGGTCAATGTAACGTAAGTGATGAGAAAATTGCCCCAGAAGTGGAGAAACACATGCCCTCAATCATTATCACCCTGACTCACTCCAACTTTATTAGAATTTTATGTTGTTTCTTCCCCCACAACCCCCAAACTGCTGTTACCCAAACTGAGGTAGACATACCTTTCCTGTTGTAGAAGGAAATCCCTAGACATGAGACCTGTAGTAGTGGTTATTGCTCTGTGGCTCTATGAATGGCTATGAATTCTTTGTTCAGCATGGAGAAAGAATACACTTTATAATGCACAAGACACCAGCAAAGTTTTTTCTTGAATTACCTTAATAGTGTCACTGCCATATGTCACTGTGACAACAGACACACACACATCAGAAAGTATTTCTGACTTGGTTTTTTGAGTACAGTTCTCATACTGGTGATATTTTTATTCCTGCCATAGTTTAGCCAAATGATTCATTTCCTATAGGAAAAAAATGATACTATATTTTTAATATTACTTTTGGAGCACAATTTCTTTGATCTGGTGTTTACTATGTGGATTTTGGCTTCAGCTGCCCCAGTCTGAGGGCTTTAGGTGCAGTCAGTATGAACTGGAAGTGCATCCTGATACATCAGATGCTGTGTGTCAATCTGAGTCTTCGGATTGGCAACTATAACGAGTCTGCAGCATCTGTATGAGGGATACAGCCCTTTCCTGAAGGCCCCTTTTATTTCCTCCCTGGCGTTTCCTTTGGTGTACCTGTTGATTCACTGATCTTAAGTGAAGCAAGTGAGTATTGATGCAAGCAGGCATGAAATGCGTCTTGAAAAACCAGAAGAGCAAACAACAGATAAGGGCCGAGGGAGGCTCATCCCTTTGCAGAAATGTGCAATTCGGCGTTCTCTCAATAGATGTCAGCAGCACTACAAATTTGCCCAGCTCACCGCTTTGAGAGCCGTTCTGTTTACAATTTTTATTAGTTCACAATTTCAGATTCAAAAGATTCAAAGGAATATCCCATCTAAACCAGTGGAAACTATTGCCCTCTGAAATGGGTTTAGAGACTTCTGTTTAGCATCTTAGAATAATATTGTATTCTCAGTAATGCATTTTTTTTAATAGAGAACTTAGAAG